TAGTACTCGATCAGCTCACCCTTGGTGATAACCTGCGAGTACCAGTCGGGCAGGTTATCCTCCTTGGTGGCCTCCAGACCAAGACGGGTCTGCTTTTTCACACCACCGGAAGCATCGGCAGCAGGCTCCTTTTTAACCGGCTTGGCTGGCTTTGGTTGCGCCTCCTTGGGCGCTTTCTTGGCTGCTCCTCCTCCACCGCCGCCTCCTCGACCAGCTACGGGGAAATCGGTGCCCGTAACCTCCTTGTACTTGGCCTTGAGAGCCAATAACTTGGCCACTTCTGCATCGATCACCTCCTTGGCTGCTTTGTTGCCCTTGGCCGCGCGTACCTTCTCCCCTTGAGCATTGATCTCCTGGGTGAGTTCATGCTTAGCCGGCGAAGCCATCTCGACGGGGCTGGCTTCCTTCTTGACTACAGCAGGTTCAGCCTTAGCGTCGGGGGTCCAGTCCTTACCACTCAACGTCTTATACTCTGCTTTCAGAGCCAGCAGATTCTTAACCTCAGGTTCGATTACGTTCTTAGCCGCCTTCTCCGACTTTAGTTTCCTGATCTTATCGCCCTGTGCCTGAATCTTGGCCAAGACGCTGGACACGTCACTTCCGGAATCTCCACCAGTGAGATCCACAACGGCAACGGGTGCGGGAGCGGGTGCCACAGTACCTGGCTTCCACTCCTGACCAGTCAGGGATTTGTAGTCGGTTTTCAGTGCCAGCAAGAGCTTTACCTCGGCCTCCACCAGGGATTTCTCCGATTTCGCCGACTTCAGTTGACGGATTTTATCACCCTGCTGGGCGATCTTGTCCAGTAGTGTGCTTACAGCAAGTCCGGAAGCGGGTTCTGGATTCTTTTCCTGCTTGACTTTCACAGCAGCTGTTGCTGGGGATGGTGCTGGAGCGGTGGTACCTGGCTTCCAGTCACTACCGGTGGCAGTTTTGTAGTCGGCCTTTAGGCTGAGCAGCGTCTTCACTGCAGCGTCAAGGGTTGCCTTATCGGCTTTAGCTGACTTTAGCTCGCGCACCTTATCGCCCTGGGCAGTGATTTGGCTTAGAATCTGGGCCACCGAATCGTTGGCAGCGGCAGAGGGAGCATGGGATGCAGCTGGAGCGGCAGTGGGAGGAACAGTGCCCGGTTTCCAATCCTGACCGGTAAGAGTCTTGTACTGAGCCTTCAGTTCGAGAAGTGTCTTCACAGCAGCGTCGATCTCCGGCTTGCCAGCCTTCTTTCCCTTAAGATCTCTGACCAAATCTCCCTGCTTCACAATGTTAGCATTGACCGAAACGGCGTCGTTGGCGGTGGAAGAAGGAGCGGCAGCAGGTGCAGAGGCAACAGGAGCAGCTGCTTGTCCAGGCTTCCAATCCTTTCCAGTTGCTGATTTGTAATCGGCTTTAAGGGCGAGCAGCTTCTTCACCGCAACATCGATTTGATCCTTGGCTGCTTTCTTGGATTTCAGATCACGGACTAGATCGCCTTGCTGGGTGATTTGACTGTCCAATTCGGTAGCTTGGCCGGAAGACTTCACAGGTGAGGATGCCTTTTTCTGTAAGAAATAAATAATTTAATAACAATTTTAGGTAAAAGCTAAATTGCTGCAACGTCTTCATGTTTCTCAAAGTTTTCTGCAACGTCAGCAAGGGCTACTTGAATTATTCACCGAGCCCCTCTTTAAATTTATTGAGTATGCCTTACACAGGTCGACGATAACGATCCACACGTTAGGTTGTTCAGCACACAACTGGTTTTTAACCGAAGAAGAAGATTACGCCGAACCAACGCGGCACATAATTAAGAGAAAGTGAAAGAGCTTCAGAGAGCCACAGTTAAAAGAGAGAGAAAAGTTTGTGGAGTTCCAAACAGCTGATATTGTATACATGTGGATTCTCCCCTAAGTCGAACTTTAAATACCCTTTATCCCTAATTTATAGATTAATCTTCAGCAATAAGTTTAGAGCAAATTATTTTCCTTAATCCTCATTTTGTACTTATAAGATGAAATAATGATTGTCCTTTAACTCACCGCTGTCTTGGCATCCGGCGCATTGATTTTCAGACCAGAGGTAGGCACATCCTTCGTATGCCCATCAGGAATTGAGAACAAAACAATGGGCGAGGGTACAGACGTGAAACCACTGGGTGGAGCATAGGCGTTGTCCACCTTAAAGAAGCCACGCCTCTGCAACTGGATAATATCGCCTTTCTTTAGCTTCTTCAGTTCAGGATCGCCCAGCATTTCGACCTCATCACGGGTCTTGTGGCCAATGAACTGCTTGAAGTCCTCGTCCTTGCCCAAAACAGCTTTGCTGATGATGTTGTCGAAATAAACGCAGAAGGTGGGTGGATAGGCACTGGCATCATCTTCCACAGCCAACCAGGTGAGTTTAAGCGTCTTCTTGAAGTCCTTGTTTTCCAAATTAAGAGCAGCATCGACGGATGTGATGCTTCCAGATGCATCCTTGTTCACCTTTTTGATCAGGATGTTTCCCCAGTTGATGAAGGTGGCGTTTTCACCCTCCTTCAAGGCTTCGGCATCCACGTAGTCGATGTAGATGCGGGGTCCCAACAGGACGGTCTTCTTTCCCAGCGATTCATCCTTGGGATGGACGGACACTTGGATCCTTTCCACCTTTGCGCCAGCCACATTAACAATAACGCGCTTCTCCTTCTCTAAGGCGGTGAAACGAGGAGCAATGGGATCGATGACCTTCTTGTTGAAGGCCCAGATCTTATCCCAGTTCATGAACACCACGGATTTGCTGCTGCCCTGAGCAATGATGAATTCCTTCAATCCCTCCACAGTCATGCCGCGACGGATGATACCACGCACCGTTGGGAAACGAGGATCATCCCAGCCGTCAACCAGACCGGAGTCCACAAACCAGGTAAGTTTTCGTTTGGACAACACGGTGTTGGTCATGTTCAATCGACTGTATTCCCAGATGTACGGTTTTCGTAGCTTCAGGGCATCGATAAACCAGTAGAACTGATCATCTCGATCGTGGTACTCAGTGGTGCGCAGGGTGTGGGTCACATTTTCGATGGCGTCCACAATAGGGCAGGCAAAGTCGTAGGTGGGATACACCCTACAAAGATTATCGTTATATATCTGATCTTAAGAAACTTCTTGATATACCCACTTGTATTTGGTGCCTGTGCGAGGATGTGGTTCGTTCTTGCAGCGATAGATGGTGGGATCGCGCATGCAGCCGTTGGCAGAGGTCATATCGATCTTGGCGCGCACACAGTACTTTTGACCCTTCTCCGAGCCCTTAAGCATCTCCTCCCACAGGGAAAGATTCTTCTCGACGGCTGAAAAGAAAAATATTAAATATTAATTAACCTTATACAATTTTTTTAAGTTTAATCATGAAATGACACTCTTTCAGAAGCTAGTCTAAAACCCAAGATCAACTTACAGTTGGAACGATTGGCGGACTCGACGCGTTGTTCGCGCTCCAGTTTCATTTGCTCCGGAGGCGTGTCGTCCACGTAGGCCTTGCTCTCCTTGATCAGCTGCACACAGTAGTCGAGCATCAGGTCGAAGTAGTTGGAGGTGTGCGTAAACAGGTCTGGCTTGATCTGCAGCTGTTCCAGATCGCCGAGAATGACGTTCTCAAACTCTACGGTCTCCTTGGCGGGATTGGTGTCATCAAATCGCATGATGAGCGTTCCCTGGAAGGCCAGGGCGTAGTACTGGTTCAGTAGCGCCGCCTTAGCATGTCCAATGTGCAGATAGCCGGATGCCTCTGGCGGGAAGCGCACCACAACCTTGCCCATCTCGGCACCAGGCAGGTCCACGAACTTGCCCTCTTGCTTGCGTTCGCCCGTTTTGGCGGGAGTCTGCTCCTTGGAGGACTGTGGGCTCCTCTTCACCTTTGCTCCTTCTGGCAGGGATTGCAAAACCTTTTGGATCAGCGGCTGGGCAGTGATGAGGTCATACCAACGCTGCACGTGCTGCGGGATGCCCTTGGCCGATAGGAACTCATAGCGCGAGTGCATCTCGTTGAACAGCGCAAAGTCGGCGATGGTCAGCTTGTTGGCCACCAGGTAGGTCACCGGTGCAATGGACTTGTCCAGGAAGGACAGAGCCCACGAAATGTCGTCCTCGCAGGTCAGCGAAAAGGAGAGCCAGTGGTCAATCTGGGTCCTCTCGATGGCCGTCTCCCCGTACAGCTTGTAGTCCGGAGCAGAGCGGGCCAGGGCGCGGAGCACATCGTTGTTGGAGTGGCACACCAGAAGGCGGTTATCGGGGAACTGCAGCGAGGTCTCCTCCTTGCTCCACACAATCTCCACCGGCACGGTGGCATTGATAAGGTGCGCCGTCGCCAGGCCACCTATTCGAATGAGTCAATTAATATCATGCGACACTATACGATTGCCAACTGATGCAATAAAGAAGGGATCGGATGGAATGCCAGAAATGTATATTGTGTACATAAATAGACCACCATCCGGGTTTAACCTCACTAAGTGCACCTCTTCCGGGAACTGAAGGTCACTGCAGCCGGCATCCTGTTAGTACTTACTTATCGGCGGATTGTTGAGGTTCGCTTTCAGCTTTATAGACATTGTCGCAGGTCGTTGGTTAAAATATGAATCGAAATGACGAAATTTCTCGGCTTATAAACGGCACGAGTACGGCCAGCTGCTAACGTCTACACAGTCCAATAGAGATGGCAAAAGAGAGCTGTAGTTGCCGTGCGATAGTTCACTGTGAATGGCAAATATCGCAAGCTTAGATACAGTGGAATATAAAAAATAAACATAAATATTAATATATTTAATGTCCGATTCGAATTACTCTATAAAAAACATTTTATTTTAAACTATTTATTTGCAATAATTTACTCCCTATATTCACTTAAATTAAATTTAATAAATCATAATTCTATATTTAATAAGCATAAAATCGTTTTTCCACTGTACAGCCAACCCAACCAATTTCCACAATCTCTATTAACGTGAAACGCACTGTACTTGCTATTCCCCTTTACACGTCGACAGGTGCATTGCGAATGGCAGCTCTGCGTGAAGAAGAATTTTCTATGTGTGTTTTGTTCGGTGGCTGCATGGAAAATTAAGGTTTTCCCATATATTTTGTACAACCAGCACACGGAAAAACTCAACCGCACGGAGGAGAACCAAAATAAATGGTGAGACTCTAGAAAAAACCAGTGTAATGGTGACTTCCTAGTATAGGATCGGTTTTTCATGTTGGCGATGCGGTGGCTCCAGGTGTGAATTTGTGTGTGTGTGTTGGTGGTGGTGCTCGATGACTGTGTCAGTGGAAATTGGGAGCTTCGCTGGCCCTAAAAGATATGAAAAATTAATGAAAACCACAAAAATCAATAAAGGTTCTGGACTAACGAAGGTTCTACTCAATTTCAGATGCTTTTCATGCTGCTCTTCAGCCGGCAGGGCAAACTGCGGTTACAGAAATGGTACATGGCCTATCCCGATAAGGTGAAAAAGAAGATCACCCGGGAACTGGTCACCACGATACTGGCCCGGAAGCCCAAGATGTGCTCGTTTCTGGAGTGGAAGGACTGCAAGATTGTCTACAAAAGGTGAGTAACTGGGTTGACTATTCCTTGATCAGTTAAGGGTCTTTAAAGACGGTTAAGAAAATACTTAGTCCTAGTTTTTTGCTTACTTAGTGAAGAGAAAACAGCGGTTATTTTTTCTAACAAGTTACTAAAGATCACATCTCTAAGTCCTAACCCCTTACTATGTCAAACATTAAATATAGTTGAGATAGTAGCCCTAATAAAGTTATAACTGATAAGATATGAGTGCAAATAAATATAAAATTCATGGAAAAATAAGAAAGACATATTAAAGTACAATATACAACCTATAGATTCCGAATTAATTAAATTAATATGTAATATTTCTCTTACTTTATTACTATGTAAGGTCATCTGATTGGAAGACTTAAATGCTAACGTCACTGTTTGTTTCCTTGTAGGTATGCCAGCTTGTATTTCTGTTGCGCCATCGAGCAGAACGACAACGAGCTGCTGACACTGGAGATCATTCATCGCTATGTGGAGCTGTTGGATAAGTACTTCGGCAGCGTAAGTTATTAACACCACTTTGCCATAGAAGCCCTAAAGAGTTTCACATTTTCCCTTCTCTGAACAGGTCTGCGAGCTGGATATTATCTTTAACTTTGAAAAAGCCTACTTTATCCTGGACGAGCTGCTTATTGGCGGTGAGATCCAGGAAACGTCCAAAAAGAACGTACTTAAGGCGATCGCCTCGCAGGATCTGCTCCAAGAGGTCAGTACACCCGAGACATATGATCTGTAATGCCTAAAACGGTTGTGTCACTCTCTACCTATGCCGGATATTGTTAATTGTTTTACATATTTATTCAACTTGCTGGTTTTTAGTTTCGTTACCTCGTTAGTGTTTGTTTGCATCTATATTTATATGCCTATCAATAACGTTTACAATGTCATACCTCATGCATATCACGGTTTTCTCTTTATACTCTACTCTTACCTACTTCTCGTTCTTGTTTCTCTAATTTGTGCATTCGAAACTAATAACTATACTACTCGTACTATAAACCAAACACCTCTAACCACTCGAAGCAAGAAGAGTTCTTTTACTCGCTGCAATAGATCCTAAGTCCAGTGTGCGTGTGTGCTTCCGCAGCAGCATTGTCATTAAGTTTAAGTTCCGAATCTGATGTAAACCACCTTAACTGACACACACGCACTCAATCAATTTGTTTATTTGTCATTGCATGCCGTCTTGAGTTCCGAAACTTGCCTACTCGAAAGCGAATTGTGAATTGTGAGAACTTACCAGGAATTATTTGATCGCCACAGTATTGAACTTGCCATAGATGTTGCTGTGCAGTAAAACTAAAACTAAAACCTTGTTTGCCATTTATAGTACAATTTTTGCTTGTGTTTATTTTGTGACCGTAACTCTGTAAGTCTCCTAACCCAAATTGTAGTAAGATATCGGTCTTAGTTGGCTTGATTATTTTGCATGACCTTTGTAGTTGAATTACTAACTAGAAACGATGTTAAACTATACATATTCTTGCCATACCATAAACCATATATAAATGTGTAACCCATGTACCCTCTCTCTTGTTATTATTAACGCTTACCCTACCCGCCACTGCATAAATCGATGTTAACACAACTACTACCACCACCAACAACCACCACAGGACTTCAATGAGTATCTCAACTAATCAATGAAAAGAAAAAAAAATATAAACCTAGAAGAAAACAAAAACCCATCCCAAAGAACCAGTGTAAAGAACATAAAGTTATATTCCCGATCTGCGAAGAGTCTTAGTGGGAGAGTCGATAGGTCAGATCAGTCAAACCTTCGTCCAGCTGTATATATATGTGTATATTGCCCAGCTTCCATTCCCCCGCCTTCCCCGCGCTGCGCTGTGATGTTCACCCATTAAATATGCGTTAAATGTTTCCAAGTTGTGCCGTAAATGAAAGAAAAGCAAAACAAGATCGAAATTGGTTTCTTTTTTGAACACATTCTACTCACACTTACACCTACTACTCCTACTACCACTTCTACTACTTTCTTTCCTTCTACTCTTCTCGTTCTTATTGTTCTTATTCTCTGTACTCCAGGACGAAGCCGTTGAGGGCACTTTAAGAGACATTGGACTCCTGTAAAGAACTAGAACACTCTAGAACTTATGTAGTTGATATTACACGCACACCCAGACACAGCAAGCACACAATAACACACACAAATACACCCCCAGCGATAATGTGTGCTGCACTTGGCACTTTTGAACACTGCTCCATCCACTTCTCAACACTAGTGTGTGATTTGGCTGTTGTACAGCACTGATGAGTTGAATAAAATTAATAAATGATAAGCAAGAAGGCGCCAAGCAGCGTGAGGCTCCAAAAAGCAATAAATCCCACAAAGCTAAATACTAGATAGTAACATCAGAGCATCTGGCATGCGGTTTTCCATACACTTTCGTATATTTCACAAACACACACACAGATATTATAGATCCAGCAAAGTTCATGCAAAACAAGCCAACCTCACGTAGTTCCATCTGGGGTTCCCTCAACTGAATTAATATTCTTCTTCCTATCTACATCGAAAGATCATTCCAATCAATCACCAAATGGGCAATAACTAATTTAGTGGGGAAATATATGCAATACTATTCTTACAATAGAAACAAGTAAGCTTTAATGTTGAAAAAAATGAGAACGATATATAATTGAAATTGTAATAATCATCCCATAGTGGTAACCGAATAAAGTCTAGTTTATGTATATCTACAAATATATATGTTTATGTATGTGTGTTGTACGTTTTAGCCAAATTTTCTGTGTTTTGTAACTGAAAAAAAAACAAGTTAAAATAAAAAACCAAGTATTTTTCAAAAAACAAATATTAAATGTTCTCGTATGCTATATGATAATGGTAAGAACTGGTGATCCTTAGTTTCTTTTAGTGTAATTGTATACTTTTAATTTTGATTGTTGTCTTTGCTGTTGTCACTGACCCATTTGACTGCTCTGACCTCTTGACGCCCGCTTTGATCTACTCTCCACTGATCTGATCTCTGAACTCCACTCTCTACAATCTGTCTATCTCCCCATCTGTCTGGCTTAGTGCACCCATTTGGTGTCCTTTTGTTATTAGTTGTTATTACTTATTACCCGTTTTCCATAGCATATTTATGAGGGGTATCCTCCCAGTATCGAAGCTTTTATTTGGTTCCCTTATATCCCGAGCGATGTAAAAGTATAGATCACGTAACTGAAGCTAAGCATTCTCCCATTCCAGGATGAAACCCCGCAGAGTTTCTTCGACGATCATGGCCTGGGCTAAGTTGGCTCCATGACAATGAAACCCAAGAAAGACATTATCTGTATTGAACCCATTTAAAGTCGCCTTAAATGTATGCGTGTATCTGTATTCAACGTAACCCAAAAGTATACCGGTTCTATTATTATTATTATTTAACAATTCTGTGTCAGCATAAAAGATTGTGTATAAAAGTGCTGTTAAACTTACTCCTAATTTCGCTTGGCAAATTCAATTTGCAACACATTTTACTCTACAAAAGCAGCAATATCGGTTGCTCATACACATTCATACTTGTAAAGATTAACTTAGAGATAAGCAAAGTAAAGCGAAGCGATTAATCGACGGTGTGCTCAACTCTATAGTTGTAAGTTTAAAGCCCCTATAAATATATGAAAATTGCTGTATCCAAAGTAACCAATCATAGCTCTGTTTACTTTTTACATTCTTTGCTACAAATAAAAATCGTATCGAGTGTGAGAGTTTCTAAATTTCAGATGTTTTAACCCCGTGGTTTAGGGGGATTTCGTTGGGATATAAGTTTGTCAATGATAAAAATCTCAAACTGAGTATTTACGATATCTGATGTCCTTGAAAATCACAACGAAGGTTTCAACATTACCGATTTGAAGGAAGGATTAGCTATTTTATGAAGCACAAAAAAGTAGGCAACGATATTTCGTGAATTTAAATTCATGACATACTTTACTTTACTCCTTTTGAATATTTATCATAAATTAAATATAATAAAGTAATTAAATGTTTCCTTTTTTGAAATGATTAATACTTAGTTTTCTACCAAAAATAAAATAATAAATATAAAAGGAAATAAATATACAAATTTTGCAAAGTCTTAAATTGCTAACTTCTACATACATATGTAACCATTCTATAATCTTCCCAAAACCTAGGTAAGTTTGCTCCACTTGGAATAACGGTTGTTTTGTGGGCTTTTTCCCTGCCCCAATTTGGCCACATTTATTTTGGGGCCAAGTTGGCAGCTCGCCGACCAACAAATTGTTGATTTCATTTTTATTTGGGGGCGGGCGTGAGAGAGAGAGAGCGCACAGAGAGGCATCCTGCTGCCTTCGAGAGAGCGGAGAGAGCAGAGCATCCAGCTAACGGGAGCTACCCAAAATTTCCCCCTGTTTGTTGTTGGGCTCGCACGCACACAGGAATTCGAAGGCGAGAACTCAACACACCACCGAGCGAGAGGCAGATATGGACCCCCTTCCAGAGGAAGCGAGACGGGGCGAGAGCGCCAGGCGGAGCAGCGGCGACGGCAGCGATAAAGGCGCTGCGCTGCGAGAAAGTTGCGGACCCGTCCGCAGAGCGCACCATCGTCTTCAGCGGAGCACACACAGCAGCTAGGTGTGCTCTTCCGTACGTAACGGTTGCGGATTTTCACTGGATCCCCAATTTCCACACAGCTAGCACAGCACACAGGAAAATTCTCACACACTCGCAGGCCGTAAAATGTGCACAAAACTCGTTGAAAACTCGTGGAAAACTCGTCGAAAAACTCATTTGAAAGCTCGCGTAGAACTCGGTTAAAGTGGAAAAACTCTGATTGTGCTTTGGAAAATTTTCCATCCGGGTGAAAGTCTGAAGTGCGGGGAAAAGAGAAGAAAAAAAAAGAAGGAAAATCGAATAGAAAAGCAGCCGCAGCAGCAGTGTGAAAATCGAATGTGCAAAATTTTGCAGCTTCAAAAATGTATGGTACACATAAAATTTCTCTCTCCAAAAACGCGAGTGTATGTGTGCGCGTGAAAATTACGTTGTCATATGTGCCAGCCAAGTGATGAATTTTCCAGGCCTGACTTTCCCCAGCCCCAAAAGGCGAGCCTTAACAAATTAACTCCTTCGAGTGATTAGCAATGAAAAAAAAGACAAGGCCACACGCACACTGCCCAGATACAGATATATAGTATAGCCATATATCTTATTTAGAGATATAAACGTGTGTGTGTGTGTGTGTGTGGTGGCAAGGAATCAAGCCGCGCCAGCAAAAGAAAGAAAGAAAAAATTCTCTATCTATTGCGATTTGCTCATGCGGCCCGAAAAGAGCGAAGCGCGCAGCATTGGGTGGAAAAGTGGGTGGTGGTGGGTGGCAAGTCCATAGTGGGCGGGGTGGGCGCCACCACGGCCCCAGTGGGTGCGAAGTAGGGCTGCTTTGTCTACAGTTGTAGAGTGTGTATACACAGCCTCTGAAATCTATATATCTTGCTGTTTTTTTGTTGGGGCCCCCCATTAGCATCCATAATTTTCAGTTTTCTTTCTTTTTTTTTTTTGGTTTTCTTCCAGCCCAGTCCAAAACAAAACACAAATTGGCCGTAAGAAAAGCAAAGCCGCAAAGTTTTCATCACTCCCCCTCCCTTCATCGCATTGGTATTTGTTGCAAAAATATTGCTCGTTGTGATTTATCCTTAAACTTGGCCACTTTCGCCTCAACCGCTCCGTCGTGGTGGAGTTGAGTTCGAGCTGTGGTGGGTTGGGGAGTGCGCAGTCGCCAGGACATCGCCTGGTGGCCAGGATATATGGACACGGGAAACGGGTCCTGGACATTCCACGTCGTCAGGCTGGCTCCTCGCACACAGTTGCGGCCCGAATAATAGGAATACTGCCAAGTCCAAGTTCAAAACTTTCTGCTCAAGTTCCCACAACAACTGGCTTTCTTAAACCCCATTTATAGTAAATACCTACGCAAAGTGGGCTATTAGCTATTGAAACTTTTATCACTTGGCTAACTCTTTGTCTTTTGAGGGGAAAATAAACTCTTCCCCTTTTTCCATAAATGTTATCCCTATCGAATCATCATAACTTACCTATTTCTGAAGGTCCCATGTACTTAAGGGGGATTGAGAGTTAGGATCAGTTTACTTAAAAACAGTTTTAAAATACAACAGCTAAATACAAAGTAGATGTTTTATCCTGGAATTTAACAATATGTAATCCAAACTAGATCCCAGATCTTAACTGAGTTATCAGTCAGCTGAGATCATAAAATAGGCCCTAATTTCAAGTAAAATCAATGTTCATAACATGCTAAGTGATACACACTATGTAAAGACCAAGATCCTTACGCTCGAGGGCTATTATGACGACCTTAACTTTTCGTATACACACAATGGGGATTTGTGTGCTTTCCGTTAGCTATCGTTTATTGTCATCAAGCTGAAAACTTCAAGTGTCGTTACCTTTGTTTCCGTCTATTATTAGGACCTGTATGATATAATATTTGACTGGATTGTCCTTGGCCATCCCCGCTGGCAGTGGGCGGCTTTGGATTGGACTGGATTGGGTTGGGTTGGGTGTTTTTTTTGTAGGCGGATTCGGATGGGGGGCTGGGAAAGTGGGTGGCGGTGGTAATTGGTTCATCACAGAACATGTTGCATACTTGAGGGCGACGCGGCTATGGAAATTAATAGAATCGCGTTGGGGAAACTGAAGCAATGCAGTTCGTATTTGCTCGCTCCCCGTCTCTTTCTCCAGCTCTCTGGCTCCCTCTTTCTCTTTTCCCCAGCCGCACACGCTGTTGATATCATATTTTTGCCACTTCTATTATTATATTGATGTCTACTACTTTTTTATGGTGCTCCAAGAATACTGGGAACTTTTTTAGCCAACTCACCACGCATGACGCGTGCTTTCTCTCTCGCGCAGCTCGCTCTCTTTCTCTTCTTCTTTCTCTCGCTTTTCCCTGTGGAAACTCCCGCTCTTGTGGATTTTATTATCGGGAAACGTTTTCCTTTTTTTGGCTCTGCTGTTTTTTTTTTTGCTTTTTTGGGGGGTGCGGCGCCCACGTATCAGCGCAGGAAAGCGGAAAGTGAAAAAGCAAAGGAAAGAGCGAAGTCGAAGAAAAACATTTTCCGAGCTGCTGCTGCTGCGGTCGTTCGTTTTCGGTAGTAGTAAAGTGAAGACCGCCCGCCGAGTGAAGTGTGCCTACGTGTGTGTCCGCGCCTGTGTGCAGTGTGTTATATACAAAATACATATATCTACATATATATATATGAAATGGCACACGAAAAATGCAGAAAATAATTAACCACAATTTTTGTTTAGTGCAGCGCCAGAAATTGTAAATAATTAACAGTAAAAAAACAAAGAAAAACTCACCACCAAAGAAAGTTATAAACGAAAACGCTTAAGCAAAAACCAAAGATGCATAAATCTAAACAAATATGATACATAGCCAATATGTATATAGAAACTAGCAAAGATAAATAAAGTTCGAAAGCGAGGAAAAACACCGATCCCGGCAAGCAAATGTCCGGATAAGGGAGCCGCTACCTGACCAATGGATGAAAATGCAGCCGTCGTCGCCGTCACTTTCGCCGTCGTCACTATCGCATCGCTTTTGTCAGCAGCAACAGGAAAAGTCGGAAAAGCATCTGCAGGATCAGAAGGATCAGAAGGAGCAGTCCAAGCTGGCCGGATACTCGCCCTGCCACGCCCACGCCAATCGAACGCCCTCGGTCGGTACGGCAGCGCTGCCTCAGCTGGCGTCTACGCCCGCCCCGGCAGCAGCGGCCTAAGTTGCCAAACCCAAGGAATCCCACTTCGAAATAGCCCATCTAAGCAGCAGCAGCAGCATCCACAGATATTGCAACTGCAACAGCCACAAATACTGCAACTGCAACAGCCACAAATATTGCAGATATAACTGCAACAGCAACTGAAATTGCAGCTGCAACTGCAACAGCAACGCACACAACATAACGCATAAGGCAGCACACAAAGGGTAGCAGGATAAACCGGAAGCGGAAGGACAGGAAGAGGCAGGACGGGCAGCGGACACAGGCAAACAAAATGGCGGATGGTGGGCATTCATTCGTGAAGAAGACATTTCATAAGCCAACATACTGTCACCACTGCTCGGATCTCCTCTGGGGCCTCATCCAGCAGGGATATATCTGTGAAGGTGAGTACCAGAAGCCATTCATTCTACTTAGTGCTAGAGTTCACTGTGGGGAGATCACAAGATCATCACTCGGAAAAGTTAAACAGTCATGATTATTTCGATTCAAACAGGCCTAATATGTACGAGTATTTACATAAACGTATCATTTCAACTATTGAATGGATAATAACGTGATATTGCATAATTTCGTTTTTAATTTTCTCTGAAATAGATATAGATAGAAAACATTAGGATAAGAATAAAGAAACACCTATTAAAAGTTCAAAGTGAATATTGTTTTTAAGATTTTAGTATATGTTAAATTATTTTAAATTGTTTTATCGGTGATCCGATAATCCGTTATCCGTAATTATGGATACGTTTAAATTTCCAAATCAAAAGTATATTTCATTTTGTATTTACATACATATATCCCAATAATTTATTAAACTAAGGGTATTTATGTGTAATAGAATTCCAATCTATTCATAATCGATACAAAAATAATTATTATGTTATTGCCGTTCTGTTTCACTTTTTATTTGTCTGTTTTATATTGGCTTAAATTTACACATGTGCTCGCTAGCTCTCTTATATCGCAGTGTGACCGTTCTCCGCTCTTTTCAATATCCTTATCATAATATATTAGCTTAACTTAGTTTTACATTGAATCGGAATATCGGAATTGGTACATAAATGCGGAAGTTAGCATGTAAACGATATTAATACTAAATAGTCATCGGCATACAGCTTATTCTATGAACCTCTCTAATACACTGCTAACAGCTCGGCCATCCTGACAATTAGATCGTCCTCGATCGTGAGTTTCTAGTTTTGTATCTGTGCGTATAAGCTAATTAGAATAGTTATGATATATATGTGCACAAAGTTGGTTAGTTATAAATAAATTAGACATAAGTATTAGATTAACATTTTAGGAGTTACTTTCACACTGATTACGCCAATCTGCCCATTTCCGCAACCGACATGCTTCTACAATTCCATCATAGGGAATTTGGCTAATTTGACAATTTTCAATATCACTTACAACATACCTATCGTTTGGCAAAACTTTTTTAACGATGTATGGTCCTTTGTACTTTGGCACAAATTTTTTATTTGTACCAATTGTGGTGTCAATGTTTCGCATTACAACAAAATCGCCTTCTGCGAATTCTACATGATTTTTGTGATTCTTCTGAAAATATTCCTTGCTTCTTTTCTGACACTGTTCAATTTTATCTGAAGAGTTTTTGCGGACATTTACTAAATCACACTGTGGTATATCATTTCTATCATCTAAGTATTCTGTTAATGCGTCAATATTACAACCTCTCTGCTGAACTCCAAATAACAACACTGAGGGTAATTCTTTCGTAGTTGAATGCATTGAATTATTAATGGCATATTCGGCCTTAACTAAGAGTTTGCTCCAATCCTCGTGCTTAATTGGTTCAGTTATCTTGGCTAGCATCGCTTTTACAGTCCTATTTACTCTCTCCACCTGGCCGTTCGCCTGAGGTGACGCAGTTGCTACCTTAACGTGTTCGATATTATTTTCCAATAAAAATTTTGCAAATTCTAATGACGTGAAACATGTACCTCTATCACTTACGATTCTACGTGGTCGACTGTAATATTGAAAATATTTCGAAAAACAAATGTTAACTTCTTTCGTACTCGTTGAATTTACCGGAAACAATTTAACGAATTTGGTAAATCCATCAATAATTACTAACAAATGTTTCTTTTTCGATATGACTGAGGGCAATGGTCCAAAATGATCTATATGTAATGTATCAAAAGGAATTGGTCGCTTGGGTATATTATGTAGTGTTCGATTATTCGCATGTGTGGGTACCGTAAACATGATACAGTTTAAACAATTTCCAATAAATGCTTCTATTTTAGATTTCATGTTCGGAAACCAATAATGTCTCATTATTTCCTTTAAACATTTCTCTGTACCTAAATGGCATAAATTTTCATGAACTCTTCTAATTATATGGGATTCCATTTCAGCTGGTACATATAACAGTTCAATATCATTCTCACCTAATCTATAAACAATTCCATCATTCAATATAAAGTTCTTCACAATTCCAAGTTCTAATTGTTCTTTCAATTTTACTATAATACTATCCCTATTTTGCGTTATCTGAAGCTGAAGATTAATGTCGTCACTGTCAATTACTGAAACTATTTGATCTTTGTTGTCTCTTCCCTGAATATTCACTACAGGTTCATATTCAAAATTCTCATTTAAGGCTGAAGGGTATCTACTCAATGTATCAACATGTGTCATATATTTTCCACTACGATGCTTAAGGGTATAATTATAATTGGCCAACTCTAAAGCCCATCTGGCAATACTTGAATTAAGGCGTCCTTTTCCTAAACATAATACTACTGCATTACAATCTGTCACTATATTAAATGGAATTCCTTCTAGGTATATTCTAAATTTTCGTAATGAGTAGACTACAGCTAAAGTTTCCAATTTGAAGCTTTCATATCTTGCCTCTAATTTTGTTGCTCTTTGTGAAAAGTAGGCTATTGGGTGGAACTTGCTATCATCCTGTTTTTGCAATAAGATTCCACCAAATCCCTCGCTACTTGCGTCGCAATGCAATTCAGTTTCTCGGTTCGGGTTGTACAAAGATAGTATAGGAAATGAAATTAATTTCTCCCGAAGATATTCAAAAATATTGATGCAATCTTCACTGAGTTCATACTTAGCGCCTACTTTTGTGAGCTCTTGCAATGGTTTCGCTATTTTTGAATATGCCGGAATAAATCTCCTAAAGTACGAAAATAATCCTAAGCATTTTTGCATTCCGTGGCGATCTTTTGGTATCGGAAGATGTTTAATAGTTGATGTGTGCTCATAATTTGGACTGATTCCTTTTCCACTAAGTGTGTACCCTAAAAATTCAATGCTTTCGTAAGCGAACTGGCATTTGCTTACCTTAATTTCCAATCGGTACTCTGCTAAAATTCGTAAAACTCTTCCTACCGTCGTAAAATGTTCATTCAATGTCTTCGAACCTATAGCAATATCGTCGATATAGACTACTACATTTCCTTCGCGAATCAAAGGTTGCAGAATAAAGTTAATAAATCTCATGAATACTGCGGGTGCATTCATGAGTCCGAAAGGCATTCTTGTGTATTCATATTGACCGGAGGGTGTTACAAAAGCTGTATACTGCACTGAACTTTCTGCTACTTTCACTTGGTGGTATCCACTTTTCAAATCTAAAAGTGTGAAATATTTGTTTCCTTCTAATCTTTCTAAGCAGTCATCTATGAGGGGAAGCGGGTATCCATCACGAATGGTTATCTTATTAAGTTGTCTATAGTCTACACACATACGCTTTTCTCCGGATTTTTTCTTAACAAGTACAATAGCGGAACTATAGGGCGAATTGCTTTCTCTTATGAATCCCTTTTTCAATAACTCATCAATTTTTAAATCTACTTCTTTCTTTTCCTGATATGAAAGTCTTCTTGGTACAGATCGTACAGGCTCTTCCGACTTAAGTCTTAGTCTCATTTCATAGCTATGTTGGATAGCTGGGATGTTGGATAAATTTAAGTAATTTAATCTTATTATTTCATTTAGTTCGCACCTATCCTTATCGCTTAACTTCGGGTCAATGTCAATACTTTCATCATCCTTAAATACATCAATACTATATATGTATGGTATGCTATCATTACTATCTATTTTACTCTCATTACATAATTCTTCAAATCTTCTACTGCTTTTCAATGGGTCACTGTCTCGATATGTTTCAATATTCACTAAACTCTTCAATGGTTCACTGTCAATGTTCAATCTATTCAATGATTCACTGTCTCGATATGCTTCAATATTCACTAAACTCTTCAATGGTTCACTGTCTCGATATGCTTCAATATTCTTAAATAAATGCAATTCTACAATTTCTTTTATCTTATCCTTAAAAATCAATTTTATTCCAAATTTTTCCAAAAACTTACGTCCTAAAAGAACATTAGTTGCAACATAGTTGTTGGGTACAACAAAAAATGAAATTTCTTCTTCTCTGTTTTGAAAAATAAGTCTAACAAATATTTTCCCGAAAGTTTTAATTTTAAATCCATTAACTCCACAGTAGTCCGTCGGAAACAATACATCGCTAAAGTTACTATAAGGAATCGCAGCGTGCTGAATTAAATTAATGGCGCTTCCCGTATCAAACATGGCAGAAAGTAAGGTTACGTTAGGCTTCTGTTGACAATCAGTGTAAAAATATACTCCTACCTGGTTAACAATCGGAATAAACATATTGTGCCCCTCTTCGTCATCTCGAATCGGCTGGTTGTTGGCTGCGCCCACCATCCGCGGATTAATTGTAGGCTTCTGTTGACAATCCTTCAGCATATGTTGGAGGGATCCACAACGGAAACAGGACCCCTTCTCGCGTTTCGACGCAGTACACGACGAAGCGTAATGCCCATAAGCGGAACAATTATAGCAGCGGATTGTGTTCCGCTCATTTCCAGAACTTTCTGCACGGTGGGAAAAATTGTGCGACTTCTTACTTAGACTTGCATACTTCCGAGCCAACTCTTTCAATTGTCCGATTGTTGTAGCTGTGTACAATAGGGCGATATTGGCTGAACGATCACGAAAACCATCAATGATGAACTGGACTGTCAATTTTTCGTCGATGTTAGCACGCATAGCAATTTCCTCCATAAGAAGTATGTATCCCATAACGGTGTTCTTCGCAGGGTTAAAAATGGTTTCCTTTAACAGCAATACAATATCAGCAGTTGAACTGCCATGACCAAATGTTTCTATAAAGCTTTTCTTAAATTCGTCGTAAGTACTCGATCGGTCAACACGCACAAACAAGTCCGCATCTGTGCCCGGTTTCATAAGCATTCGTACGCAGCGCAATTGAAAATTTTTACACTCATTAACATCTCTGCAGATTCTCTCAAAATCCAAAATCCACTTAAGAGCTTCCTCATTTTCAGTGGCAGAAAACGGGACCATGAGCTGCTTTACCATTCTAATGTCATCTGTCGTCTTGTTGTTGTTTTGCATCAATCCGGCCAATATCTTTTTCTTTTCAGCCACCCTTATGGCGGCGTCAAGCAATGCTTCTTCTTCTTCCAATGTGTGTATGTGTATGTCTTCGCTAGCGGTTCCTTGACTTAGTATATCAATTTTGGCGTCTTCTTCCTCCAATGTGTTTTCCGGGATATCAGCCGCTTCTTGGCAACCGGCATCCAACGCAAGCTTGCGCAATTGCCTTAAAGTTGCACTTGCTGGGAACAAGATTTCACTGGCTTGTAGCCACTCAACAATTTGTTTCTTGTCCATTTCAGAAAAAAAAACTGTGTGTCCTCAGATAACCAGAAATGTAGGCGGGTGTTTAAAAAGGTGTCAATCCCACTTCTGAAGTTGTTATTGCCGTTCTGTTTCACTTTTTATTTGTCTGTTTTATATTGGCTTAAATTTACACATGTGCTCGCTAGCTCTCTTATATCGCAGTGTGACCGTTCTCCGCTCTTTTCAATATCCTTATCATAATATATTAGCTTAACTTAGTTTTACATTGAATCGGAATATCGGAATTGGTACATAAATGCGGAAGTTAGCATGTAAACGATATTAATACTAAATAGTCATCGGCATACAGCTTATTCTATGAACCTCTCTAATACACTGCTAACAATTATGAATATTTTATTTGATTTCTTATTTTGACCGCGAAACTAGGACACGTTTTGATACTTATTCAATACGCCAGTCTTCATCAATTCTTCTGAATTGGTGTTTGTCTATCAGTTCTCGATTCAGTCTCAACGGCCGCAATAGAAATAAGTTGTAATTAATGTGCACTAAACAGAACCGAGAAAAGGCAACACGCAAATCATCGCACATCTTCAACGGCAGATGTAAAAATACATTTCGTCTAGTTTTGAAAATACTTTTTAAATTGCCATAAACTTGGGATGGAAATGCGGCCGCTGATGATGCCGATGGGGAGGTTGTAAAAACAAAGACATTCACAGGCATTTCAGGAAAACAGAAATGCAGGGAGAAAAACATAACAAACTTATTACTATCATTTATTATTAAGGTATAATTTAGGGTATAATTTCTTATAATATTATGATATAAGGGATACAAAAGATAGAACTCATGATAGAAATCTAAAGTACTAAACATATCTCATGAAGTTCATAATCTAACCTTTAGCTAGAGCAATCGAAAAATACTCTTGCTATAAGATCTGCTTCTTACCAATAAAGTGAAATAAGTTTCCCCCTGTGCAGCATGATCGGCAGACCCGACGTCATCGCCACATGACCAATGGGTCATCTATAGTTTTGTGTAGATTGTATAGATTGTATGGTCGGTCCGACAGGGGCAGCATCCACATCGAATGTGTAGTATAGTATATGCCATGGTATGGTATAGGGGCGGCATCATCGGGCTATTTGCGGCCGATAAGTGTGCGCGTTTGAACTTTTCCAAATTGTGCGGCTGTTGGCCGTGTCTGCCGTGACGTGAGCGGAGCGCCAACGACGTCATAGACAGCTCCGATTCGCTGTGTATATATGTTTTGACTCTATATATATATATCGGTATGTATGTGCCATTGCCATGGAAATTTATAAAACAGAGCACCCAGCGCAATTTAAGCCAAACCAAAGTGATTCGGATCGGTTCGAAACGATTCGAATCGAATCGAGGCAGGAACAGAATTCGGATTCGGAATCCACAGAACTGAGGCATCTGACTCTCCCAATGGGAAGCGTGTTAGGCGCCTCGCCTCGTGATGAATCTTCTCCGCTTTTCCTCTGTTTATTTGTGTAATTCCTCTTTTTATTTCATGAGATTTGTGGATCTGGTTGTTGCTATTAGAATAATTATCGCGAATCACGCTTGCCATTTTCATGTGGCCTCAGTGTTTATAGTTTTGGCGAGAGTGCGCGCCTTTTGCCACTTCGCAGTTTTCTAGACCATCCTACAGTTTCTCCAACCTTACTAATTGCGAGGATTAGCACTATTAACACACTGATTAGATACTTTAACATATAGATACTAACAGTTGTAACACATGACAAGCCATTTATTTTATTTTAAAAACAGAACTTTATTATGAGAAAGAACCCTTATGGTTATTCAGAATTTTGTTCTTTATTATGAGAACAGAAAGAACCCATATAAATATTCCAAATTTATTGTAGGTCAACAAATATAAAAATCTTTTGATCTATAGTCTATAATATCCACTTAAAGTAATTATACCGCTTTAATAAACAAATTTTAGAAAATTCCTTGAATGCTTAAGGATAGTTTCATAAAGAAAGTTTATTACTTTTGTCTGAAGGTTTATTTTTAACCCAGGTTGCTTACATCTTTTTGGTCTTCTTTAGCGAACCATGGCTTGCTGCTCTGCTTAGTTTAATGGCTAGACCAGGAGATCATAAAAGAAGAGATCTGAATGAACAAAAACGAGATTCCATAGATGCACTCATTCGTTTATTCCACCAATTCGCCTGGGAATTTATTACCCATTCGGCAGTCGAAAAGATCCCGAATTTTCGACTTGTTTTCTTAGCACTTGCCTATGACATTTTCAGTGCATTTTGGCACTGTGTTAATGGCGGGCAAAACATCCGATATTTATATAGATGCAGCATATATGTAAATACTATATACTGGATGATGACTGAGGGAAATGTGTCAAGTGGCTGTTGCATACTCCCGGGGGCGTAGCTCCGCTCCTTGGCCGCTCATCACGTATACGCCGCGTTAGCCAAATGGAAATAAAGCAGAGGCGTCGCTGCAGCTCCGGAGTGGGCAGATGATTCAAACTGCCGTCATAATTGAGTTGCATATCTAATTGGACCCCGGATGGAGCTGGTCCTGGTGCTGGAGCTGCAGCTGCAGCTGCCCACGCAGTTACCCAGAAAAAGACCAGAAATAGAGCTCAGGCTCTCTGATTCTCGAAAGTAGGTCAAATGCGAAATGCACTCTCGTACACTGTGCAAAACGCACGCACACACACATACACACAGCGCAGGCCGCAGGCGAATTTTCAATTGGTTTTCCAGGAGAAGCGGAGGAGCGGATTGCAGCGAAGAGCAGCAGGTGCGCACCCAAATCAAATTGGATGCATGACCTGCGGGAAGGGTAGTGGTGGTGGGGGTTTTGGCCTGGCTTGGTTTGGTTTGGTTTTGGATATCTACAAGCCGGCAACAGAGCGCCCCTGAAGCATCCACCTCAATGCAACAACGAAACCAACCCAACCCCACTCCACACCGATCTGGATCCGAATCTGAATCCGAATGAGGTGCCCCTGCCGATAGCAGCGAAGGGCTAAAAGTGCGTCATCAATGGCCGCCATGGAAAATGACGACGATGCCAGCGGAACCGAAAACCGAGTGGGGTGGGCGGTTGGTGTTTTTTGGAAGGGGTATACGAATGGGGCTGGGGTCGATGAGTGGAGGGGGGATTTGCCTTGTTAATTGCCTCGTTGTCGACGCTGTTCATTCATAACCAAAGTGAGTGGAGAACAACGAGAGCCCCAACAAAGGGTAGCCTTTAAAAACGATCCAATAATACCCTATACGGTGTTTTCCTTGTAAATTCAAGTTTTCCTAAGGAATCAACAGAAGTAAGCTGTATTTCGGAAATATGTTAGAAATAGAAAACTAAACATAAAATATTATAGTCTACGTATAATAATATGTAGTTAAGGGTGTTAACACAATATATTTCTTACAATAAAATGTAATTATCTTGATATATACCAAGTTTCCTAAGGAATCAACAGAATATTTCTGTATTTTGGAAAATATAAATATAAAACATATATAAATATATAACATAACATAAAATATAATAGTCTGTGGATAAAAATATGTAGTATATAATATTATTAATGATATATACCCCTTTGGATAGAGTATATCGAATAGACTTTCGGGGTCGTCAGTTTGGCTGGCACATCGTACAGAACGGTGAGGAGGAGGAGAATCCCAAAGAGCGATAAAGAGGGAGGGCACTGCTGACGTTGCAGGCCAGCCGGAAAAAATCTCCAGTCGAAAGCGCTTCCGACGTTAATGAAATCAAGCCAAGTCCGATTAAATGTCAGTTAAGCAGTGCAGAAGAAAGGGAGCATAGATATAAGGACGTGGGGGTTAAAGATAGAATTGCATATATAATTTGACACAGAATTATGCTTCAATCTATAAATACTCTCCTCTCTATCTCTCCTTTTGAACGTGTGTCTAAAAATATTTTGCAATTTGCAAGTGAAATAGAAACTGCATTTATTTAATTTTCATTTTAATCAGGAAAAAAGATTGCTATGAAATTGAATTTGTTTGCACTGAAATTGCCCGTCGTTGCGGTAAGTGAGAGTGGGATGAAAAACCAGGCAAATAGTTATGAGAAATGGGGTTTAAAAAAATAAAAAATTAAAAAATATATAAATATTTAATCCAGGTCTCCACAATTTTTGTTTGAGCTGAAATATTTTATATTATTTTAGAGTTCAGGAGGTTTTTCCTTAGATTTCTTCGGACTCGACATCAATTTTTCTCACTCTGCAGAGACGTTTGGGGAATATGATTTATGCGTGTTTGATATGCGTCATCTAAATGTCTCTTTGCGAATGTGCTTATGTGTATGCTTATTTATTATTAAGCAGACTAGCTATTTTTAATTCGGGGAGTTATTCTGCCTGCCTTTGGCATGTATGTGGATGTAGTGTGTATAAGTATGTTTTGGCTACACCTCAATTGAATTGTATAACTCTCCTCTGGGCAAATATCAATTTTAATTGTGCTTCCTCTTCACGCACTACGCATGTCAACTTGTGCGTATTCAATTGTCCCTAACCTCCAACTCCCTCTGCTTCTTCTTCTTCTTCTTTATCCTGTTTCTGTTTCGTCCTTTTTCTTCGTACATATGTATATGTGTATTGGTGTGTGTGCTTTAAATTTGGCTTTATGCTGCTGCTTCTTCTTGTTCTTGGTCTTCCTCTTGATTCTCCTTTGTTATTCTTGGTTTTATTGCCTTTGGGCCAAGGGAAAGGAAAAGTAAAAGTGTGTTGAGTTTCCAAACCAAAAATTTCCCCACGCACACAGAGAGACATGACATACACAGGGAAAGCATAAAGAAAAGCATTTCGAAAATTTCCCCATGCGTTGGCATCGCTGTTTCTGTTTGTCTGCTTATGCTTATCTACACAAAAAAAAAGACGAAAAGAGAATGAGGGAGAGAGGAAGAGACGAAGAGAGAGCCAGAGAAAGCACACAAATTTGCTGGTATACATAATGCAGGCATGCAACAAAGTGGAAAATACCTAAAAAGAAAGAAACACAAATTTCAACCGCTGACCCACAGGGCGTATACATGCTCAGCTGTTGCTTCTGCAATTCCACCACCCAGGCGCCCAACCACCCACCACCACCCATCGCACGTGCAACAAAACAACAACAGAGTGAAGAAACTGAAGGCAAGCCATCAGGCCAAAAAGAGATAGCAAGCTAGCTGGCAGAGCGAACTACAGTTATGTTTTGTTGTTGCTGCACTTGCAACTGCAGCGAGCGTCACGTTTGTCCTTCCTCCATCTCTTTTTCGCCCTGCTTGGCTTGCACTGCTTGACGACTGCCCGCTGTTTTATTTATAAATCGGGCCAAAAAACTAAAGCACATTCACGAGTTCATTCATGACGTCAGCACTGCGCCTCAGGTCAGCGGCCTAGTTTTCTGCTTTCTTCTCTGCTGCCACCCACCGCCCCCTGCCACTCCCCCCGTGCACTGCACACACACACACACACAATAGATAATTATGCATTTACATACAAACGCAGCAAGTGTTTGTTCTTGTACGCCGCCCCGACTTTTGTCTATGTGTAAATACAACTTTTACGGCGGGCTAAAAATAAAACTATGATATCTATGTTAAGTTTGGTGCACACAAAACGCGAGCATATGTACATATGTATGTATGAATGCTTGTATAAGGAGCAGAGAGGGTTTTGCGCAAATCCCCAGAATTTAGTTAACCTTTCTTGGATGGCATTATTAAAAATCTGCCGTCTTTCTTAGGATATCAAGAAATTGTTTTTAGATTGATCGTAACCTTTACTCATCCTTCAATGGAACTATAGATTTAGCATTGAAGCCTTATCTTCAAAGGATTCTGGTTCCTTTTTTCTGGCATTATGAAAAACACTCGATTTTATTAAGCTATCATGAAATAATAGTGTTACTATACTTAAAAAGGGTTCCAAAGTGTGAAGCTTCAGGTTCAAAGATTAAGAATAATATGAAAAGGGGAACTATAATATCAGAGAATAATCTTATAAGTTTTTTTTAACATACTTCTTTTTAGCATTATTATACTGTATTTTTATAAAAACTCATAATAATATCAGGACCGAAATGATCTTACATATTTCTTTCTGTGCAACAGGGTTTAGCTTTTTACCCAGGTGTTGAGAGAAAGAGACAGCCGGAAAGTCAGCTAAGCCTCATAAAAGCGAGAGAGGGATATATAAGCAGTCGGGCTTTGTGCGTGCAGTTATCCTTGTGCCGCCTCTCGACCTCCCTCTCCCACTCCCCCTGTTTCCATTACCTTGGCCACTTAGCTCAGAGCTTGCCACTTGCCTCCTCCGCCCGCCACGCCCCCTTTGGTTGCCCTGCGGGGAACTTCAATGAATGTCCCGTCGTCCGTGAACTCGGCAACTATGAATGGCATGCAGGCTGCCAATGACGCGGTTGCTTTGCGGTTGCACGCAGGGGCGGAGCTGGGAGGGGCCTACCAGGGGGCCCATTTAGAACACAGTTCTCTAAGGGGCCTTAAAACATCCACACTTCAAACTGTTTTTATAGACTTTAAGGATCTGAAATAGATGAGTGATCTTAGCAGTCTAAAAAGATTATGTTTTCTAGTTATACTTTTTAAAATATTTCCTTTTATTATAAAAGATGACGGTTCGGGGTCTTTTTATTTAGGATATCGTAGTTCATATTCTACACTATATCAAATGTAAAATTAATTTTTGATCAATTTTTTTTGGTTTAGTTGGTTTTTATTTTTAATTTTAATAAAAAACCGAAGCAAAGGAACATTTTTCCAGGTGCTTTTTTTTTGTTGGGTGATATATATAAATTTGCCTGTTCCATTTAGATAGGCATTCGGCATTGTGATCTCATTGAAATAACTTCTGAACTTCTGCCGACACATTGCATAACCACATCTCTTTCTCTGCTCCTCCACTTTCAGTTTGCAACTTTATCATTCACGAACGATGTGTCACCAGCGTGGTAACGCCCTGTTCCGGCATCGCTCCATGTATTATAAAGGTACGTACTCGCATTTATGCACAATTCAGAACGAATATAGCTGTCATGTGTCATTCCGCCCAGAATCCCGTTGCCCATTGTTGGTCCGAGCCAACTCATCACAAGAGAAAATTCTGCACAGTCTGCCGTAAGCGATTGGATGAAACGCCAGCGGTGCATTGTTTAGGTAAGTGTCAGTATATGGGTCCCCCAACCCCTGGTTCCCCAATCCCCATCCCCATGATAATGGGTTTTGCAGCAGTCGTGTTCCGTGTCAGTCACTTCTGTTCACCTGCGATCCATTGTTCGAACCATCAAGCGCATATTGTACTATATAGATAGATGTATTGACCCTATAACAGAGCCATTTTTGTTTCTCTCTTGAGAAAATGGAAAATTGATGTTTAAGAGACGTAAAAACAATTACGGAACCAATAACTTAGAAGTGTACAAAAAAAGAAAAAAGTATATCTCTAGAAAGAACCCTATAACTATTACCATAAAAGTATGCTACGTTTTTCGCTATTATAAGCATAAATAACGTATACGTCAGGTTAAACCTAGTTTTTGTTGGTTCTACAATCTTTATCTATTTAAAATCCACTTACTTAATGATGTAATTCCCCACAGTCTGCGAATATTTCGCGCATATTGAGTGCCAAGATTTTGCCGTGCCCGATTGCACCGAGAATGCCACTTATGTGCCGGGCAAGGAGCTGCTTAATGTGAAGCATCAGGTGAGTGCAATCACCCAGTTTGGTCAGGATCAGTAGGATAATGCGTAACACCCAATCCAAAAACAGCATCACTGGCGAGAGGGCAATCTTCCATCAACGTCCAAATGCGCTTACTGCAAGAAAACCTGTTGGTCCTCGGAATGTCTCACTGGTAAGTTGGCGTTATAATGGTAGTTCAATATCAGCTTTTATTAACGTTATATTTCTAAAACCAGGCTATCGCTGCGAGTGGTGTGGCATGACGACCCATGCCGGATGTCGCATGTACCTGCCAACCGAATGTAATTTTGGTATTCTACAACCTATCTACTTACCTCCGCACTCAGTCTCGATTCCGCGCACCGAGGTGCCCATCGAGGCCATAATCGGCGTCCAGGTCAAATCGAAGACTACGCTCGTGCGCGACTACTCGTGTCGTAAGTACAAAGTCCCGTCCTGAAAGGGTATACTGGAACCCCAGATATTCGTGGTCCCATCAAAACCAACCTCTTAATTAGCCAGATCCTACACTGAGGGAACATTTTAACTTCAGAATGCAGCTTTTTTACTGTCCACAATATAATGCTATACCCATCAGAATAGTTAATTGGTTATATTTAAGTTGATAACACTTTACCTGATTACTATATCAAAAATTAGACATAAGAAACACCACAACTTATTTTTTCCGAACTCTTAAAAAAATTTAAAAATGGGTGTATGTGACTCTTATTTAACTCTAAACGATATATTATTTTAGAGATCTGAGGACTTAATATAGCTTGTGAACTATTGATATAGGCTAGGTAGTGCATTCTGGGACTACTTTTCTCAGTGTAGGCTGGCACACTCACCCTCTATAGCGATGTAGCAATACTCACCCACCCCCCAAAACGTTGCTATCGATGTTGTGTTGTGTGCACACTCCGATCACCTAGCAAAAAATATATAAACGGAAATAAGAACTCCAATGATCAGATATCACATCGCTCCAGCTCATTCAGATCATGGCAGACCACCACCACTCTATCACTCCACCAATCCCACCGATGATTTTCCTCGATTTTTTCCCTATACTTTTTTGATTTTTGATTTATTTTTCGTTATCTGTTTTTTTTTCTTTTCTTTTCTCTCTTTTGGGTTTTATGGAAATAATTTCCATTTTCGGTTGATTGATGATGTGTCTATCTATGCAATGTGTGTGTGTTGGGCCACCGGCCACCGGCAGCCAGTCCGGATTTGAGCTGCCCTGTTCCGGGTGCAGGATGTGGGTCACTGGCGGGTCTTAACCTGAAGGAGCTGCTCGAGCTACACAGGCAAAGGCTTGAGCAATCGAAACAAAATTTTCTCCTTTCCACGCCGCCCACGCCCACCTCCTGTGGCTCCATCTCGCTCTGCCACTCGCCCACGCCCTCCTCGCTGACAGTGGGTGAGACGAGCAATGAGCAGGATCACGATCAGGATCGGGACGCCCCGGGGCAGGAGGAGGAGCCCGAGGAGGAGAACACGGAGCAGGACAGCGGCGCCCTGCAGCTGACCACCTCCACGTCGAATGTGATCGGGAATCTGCAGAAGTCGCCCTCGGCCAACTCCTCGCTGCACCTGCTCTACACGAATCTCTTCCGGAAGCTGGGCCAGGGCAAGCGGAGGCGGAAAAGGGGCTCCAGCGGAGGGATCTCGCCCAGCGAGGACGAGGACGATGTGGACGGCGGTGTCTGTGATATAAGCGGTGGCGATCTTAGCGATGACTATGACCACTGTGATGTCGCCCTGCGCCGGCGATCCCTGCGCAGTCGGCAGCCAAGGGATGTCAGCGAGACGGATTACCACGGGGATGCCGAGGCGGAGGTGGATGGCGAGACGGCGCCCAGGGAAAGCTGCTACGAGACCTCCGATACGGGTGGCGAACTGACCAACACCGATGAGGCCGACAGCAGCCTCAATCTGATCAGCAACCTTAGCTATAATAGTAGTAATAACAGCAACGCCTCCAATGCTCCAGGAGGAGGAGGAGTCGGAGGAGGAGCTGTTAAAAGCACCACCACCACCACCACTGCCCCGGGAAAGTCCGGACAAGCCTTGAGCGTCCAGGGCGGACGCCAGCAACCCAAGACTGGGGCTCTGGCCCAAACCAAGCCCAAGCCCAAGCCCATACTCATGCCCAAGCACAAGGCGCAGGGCAAGGGCGGCTCCCTCAGCTCCCCGCTGTCCAACTCCAACTCCAGCGACTGCTCCTCGGCCTCGCCCTCTGCCCCGGCCACGCTGCTGCAGCTGTCGCCGGTGGGCAGGAGCAAGTCCTTCCAGGAGTCGGCGGCCATCACGGCCGTTTCGCGCTACAAGAAGTACGGACGTGGACTTTTCCAGCGACGACGCTCGAAGAGATCGCCCAAGAATGCCGTGGGAGCGGCGGGCGGTAAGAGCAACTACAGTTTGGACAGGCTGTCGCAGAACATCGAGATCACCATCCAGGATGAGGATGGCAATTACCATCCGTATGATGACAACTTTCATATGCTCGCCAGAAGACTGGACGCCACCGATGTGGACGACGATGTGGGCTTCGATGATCTCTACCTGGACGACCGGCCGAGTGGGGCCAGTGATGATCTGGCCTTTGCCGGCGACATCAGCGACGGTGGGGCCAGCAGCCGATCGCGGGCCAGTGACGCCAGCGATGGTCATGTCCTGGCCGACTGCTTCGCCAGATGCGGCAGGGCCTATCCGTCGGCTGGCGCAAACCGCGCTACCAGAAGCGCCGAGGTGACTAGCCCACAACAGTACTCCTTTTACTTCTCTCTCTGTCTCTTTTTGTCCTTGTCTCTCAGTCCTTGCTAACAGATCTGGGTTCTGGGTCTTTTGGGTCTAACCACTCTGTTTTGGTTTTGCTTTTGGTTGCCCCGTTCCGTTTCTTTGTTGAACCACCAAGCCACATCCCACTAATCGCTAACCATCCAACCACTAATCATCCGCACCATTCTGCCCCACATTGCAATGTCACTAATCATTAACACCGACATAACCGCATGAAAAGTACTCGGAATAATAGGTATTGAATATATTATATGATAATGATTTGGTAGTAAAGCAGTGGTCACCGGCAGAAGGAAAGCAGTGCGGCGGCAGAGAAAATTTCTATCCCACGGGCTGCCCGCGCTGTTTCAGTTGGTACCACTGTGGAAAGTATTAGAAATATATTTATAAAAGTGCATATACTTTTAAAGACCTTAGGGTTTATTTAATGCCTATTTTTCCGAGCGTAACTAAGTATCTAACACCGGGCTGAGGCCGCTTTTGTTGCTACTAAAAAATGCCTGTCCCTGTGACGATCTGGCCAGTTACTGACCCACATTCCTGTGACCCCCAGCACGCAGCATATCCGAGGAGTTCAGCAGCGGCGAAGCACCCCGTTACAAGGACGAGGAGTCGGCCAGCAAGACCGATCCGGGACATGGACCCACCAGCAGTGGTGGTGGCGCAGGAGGCGGTGGAAGCGGAGGTGCAGGAGGGTCATCGACGGCTGGTGCCTCGGCATCGGCTGCCGGAGGTTCCTCCGGTCATTATAGGCCCGATTCCGGTTCCGGCCACAAGTCGGATAAGTCGGAGAAGGATCGCGAGAAGAAAGAGAAGGAGCGCGAGGAAAAGGATATAGGTGAGTCTTAAGATAGGTTCCCTTAGTTCCCTTCTAAATTTCCGATTCTGCCACAGAGATGATCAAGGTGTTCGATGGCAACAACTCATTCCGACGCCAGCAGTACCGGGTGATCATCGTGCAGCGCACCTACACGCTGGAGCAGCTGCTGACCACCGCCCTGCGGGCATTCCACATCACGCGCGACCCGCAGGCCTTCTACCTGACCGACCTGTACGCCCCAGCCGGCATGGAGGACACCCCGATGCTGGATCCCACGCCCGTGCTCAACCTGACCCATCTGGAGGGCAAGAGGCCGGCCATTTACCTACGGTTCCAGGACCGCGATCGTGGCCATGTGCGCGTCTACCCCGGCAAGCTGCAGTGCTCTTCGCTGGAGGATCCCTATGTCAGTGTTCCTGTAGATAATAGCACAGTTATTAAGGATTTGATACGCGATGCCCTGGACAAGTTTGGGCTGCAGGATAACCAGATACAGGACTACAGGTGAGCATATTGTACTCTAATAATTTTGAAGATCTTTTATAAACCATATGGTAATCCCCACCAGGTGCTCGGAGGTGCTGCTCGATCGCGGCGTGACCGAACGCATCTTATCGTGGAATGAAAGGCCCTGGGATATTATGAAGCAGCTGGGCAAGGACTCCATTCGCCAAATGGAGCTCATGCGATTCTACATGCAGCACAAGCAGGACCCACATGGCCCGAATATCGCCCTGTTCGTGGGTAACCTACCCACTGGTCTCTCGCAGCGCAACTACGAGCAGATCCTCAACAAGTACGTAACGGATGAGAACAAGTTCATTAGCATTGGACCCATCTACTATGAGTATGGATCCGTGGTGCTCACCTTCGAGGACACAATGAAGGCGGTGGGTTTACCAGAAATATAGTAATCCTATCATAAGATTCCTATTAATATGTTGAATATGTGTTGCAGGTTCGCGCCTTCTACAATCTCCGCGAGACCATCATCGAGGACAAGAAGCTACTGGTTTTGCTACTGCCGAACATTGAGCCCAGCATGGTGCCCTCGGATGTGAGGCCACTGCTGGTCTTCGTCAATGTGAAGTCTGGAGGCTGCCAGGGATTGGAGCTGATCTCCAGCTTCAGGAAACTTCTGAATCCCTACCAGGTCTTTGATCTGGACAATGGCGGTCCTCTGCCTGGGTATGTCCTATTCTTAGTGATATTTATTATGTTTCTTATTAATTCGTTCTCCCTTCTAGCTTGTATGTATTCCGACAAATAACCAACTACAAGATTCTGGTTTGCGGCGGAGATGGCACCATTGGATGGGTCCTGCAGTGCCTGGATAATGTGGGCCAGGACTCGGAGTGCTCCAGCCCACCTTGCGCTATAGTTCCATTGGGAACTGGTAAGTAGAGAAGTACTTCTTATATAGCTGGTGTGTTTAAACCATTAAAAACTCCATAAAATAAACGTAAAATGTATTAGATCTAGATACTACCTCAAAATACAACTAATTTATTACGTTTACCCATCCAAAACCCCATTTAGGCAACGATTTGGCTCGCGTATTGTGCTGGGGCTCCGGTTATACCGGCGGTGAGGATCCCCTAAATCTACTGCGCGACGTCATCGAGGCGGAGGAGATACGGCTGGACCGCTGGACGGTTGTCTTCCATCCGGAGGACAAGCCCGAAGAGCCGGCAATGAAGGCGCCCTCGCAAACAACCGGTAAGAAGAAGAAGGCACACCAAGCACACCTATCGCAATCGCAACAAACCAATCAGCATCATCAATTACCGGCTCTGACATCGAGTGATATATCAGGTCATTTGGTGTTTTCAAAACTTCGTTCGTGTGTTCTTTCTCTACGTTACATACTCGTAAACCCGTCTAGTGTCTAACCCCACAGATTCCGATTCCGTTCCAGTACCCCGTCCCAGTCCACCCAAAACTTTTCTTTTGTGTTGTAATTAAATTCTGTGCTTTGACTTAATCCCAATCCGGCTGTAATATTTCGCTGGTTCCATGCAAAACCAAAATACTATATTCAAAACTGTATAAATGTAGATAAAATAGTGCTCGAAAGGAATCTATTTATCGTCAATTCCAATTTTTTGTATATCTTATAGGAGAGTAATATACTTTTCACAAAAGTATCAAACTTTAATCTAGTCTTATATACTAGTTGGAGAAACTTTAAAAAATAACTCTTTGAATTTTAGAACTTACCCACTTATACAAAGGGAATATATTATAAATTAGATTTTTTTAAGATATAGAAGATATACGTAAAATATTTATATTCTTTAACTTATGCAAAGAAATCGTCACACCCCAAGATATCCCAAAAACCTATTATATACATAAAACCCAAGCCTAGTTTTGGTATCTGATGAGCAATGCTGTTTAGTTTCGATGTGTAAAGATATCCCTGACAGTATTTGCATGTCCAAAACTCCAAAAGAGGTAAGGTAAACACCGATTAGTCCAGACACCGAAAGGTTCTACCAGTTATATTTGGGTAAATTAGCCAGTGGATGCTATCCACCTCGATGTTGTCAGTTAAATATTTGGTGTCATGTGTCGATGTGTTATCCAAAACTAAGGGTAACTGAATAAAACTAACTGATCTTGGTGTCCCATTCAGGTGGTGCCCAAAACGAGGATAACTCTCAGATCTTCGTGATGAACAACTACTTTGGCATTGGCATAGATGCTGACCTCTGTCTAGACTTTCACAATGCGCGTGAGGAGAATCCCAATCAGTTCAACTCGCGACTGCGCAATAAGGGCTACTATGTGAAGATGGGCCTGCGCAAGATCGTGGGTCGCAAGGCTGTCAAGGATCTGCAGAAGGAGCTGCGCCTGGAGGTCGATGGCAAGATCGTCGAACTGCCACCCGTCGATGGCATTATCATCTTGAATATTTTGAGGTGAGCTGAGGCATTTCTATCTTTTTATTAGAACATATGTGATGTATACTGTATGTGTGGCGACTCAATAACTTAAATATATTTTCTAGCTGGGGCAGCGGTGCCAATCCCTGGGGTCCTGACAAGGACGACCAGTTCTCCACGCCCAACCATTACGATGGAATGCTGGAGGTGGTCGGCGTTACCGGCGTGGTCCACTTGGGTCAAATCCAATCCGGAATTCGTACGGCTATGCGCATAGCCCAGGTAATCATAAAAAGCTGCCCCTATCTTTCACTAGATATCATACTAATATATTCTATTTATTTCAACCATAGGGCGGTCATATCAAGATACACTTGAACACTGATATGCCCGTGCAGGTGGATGGAGAACCCTGGATCCAGAGTCCCGGCGATGTGGTCGTTCTGAAGTCGGCCCTCAAGGTAAGTGACTCCACTCGTAGCCGATTCCCTGCATGTATCTGCTGTTCCTTCGTTCTATGGCATGCTTGCTTCTTCAAATTAAATTACCCTCATTTCATGTTTATATCTACACATAAACAACAAATTCAGCTCATGCCTAAAAAAAGGAGTGCTTTTCTTACCTTAATTATTTAATATTTCGAGGACAACACCTTTAGTTTACCCCTATTTTGGTTTCATTTCAATTGTTACACCCTCTAACAAAAATAACCAGGTTAATATCCACACAGCATACATGACAGTTTAAATTTAGAATTAAGTCATACTTGGGCACAACATAAAGAACCGAAATTAGGACATAATATTAGGAATGCCTTTTGTTTTATTTCATTAGTGTAATGAAAATGAAATATATTGACAATCGGTTGGGTTTTGTGCGAAATATTAACATTAAAAGTCTAAAAAATCAATATAAAAATATTATTTGGGATCTATTATTATTATTGTAAAATATTTGATCTTTAAAAATCATCCAGAAAAATATGTCCCATTTGAAATTATTTTCAAAAGTAAGCTTAAAAACTTTATAGACCGAAACCGATTGTCAACCAGTTAAAAACCAAATAACATTTTACTGCGTGTGCGTTGGATATGCGTGTTTTGTATGTTAAATTTGTAATTTGTCCCCTGGTAAATCCCGCCCGATGTGTCGTAATTACTTTATAGAGCACACCACTTGAAACACCCCGAGCCACCCTTTAACCATGTAAAATAGCCATGTTTTTTCTGCATTTTTCATTTGTTGATGGCAGATTAAAAAGAAAATTCTAAAAAAATAAAACAATAAAAGAAAAAGTAAAAAAAAACTAATGAAATCGGCAAAAGAACAAACTATGTAGCGTTCTAAAATGTTTCTCTGTTTGATGTGCGTGTGCCTGTGTGTATGTCGGATTTGACCATGTGTGTGTTTTACGCTATATATTTAGGCCACCATGCTGAAGAAAACGAAGAGTAAGCGCCGTCTCACGGAGCCGCATATCTCGCCGGCGGTTCTGAGTCTTTCGGTGGCCCAACAGGGATCGGGATCGGGATCGGTATCCGTATCGGGATCCCCGCAGTCCCAGTCGCAGCAGCAACTGCAGCAGCAGCAGCAGCAGCAACAACAGCAGCAGCAGCAGCTGGCCGAGAATGGGGAGAAGGAGGCTTCGATGACTCTACCTGCCGGATTTGGCAGCACCTAGAGCTTGGCTACCGGCCTGCGATATTGGTTCTCCTGTTTCAATCCATAAAACCAGATAGACAGATAGCCAGACCATAACCCTTTTAACCCATAACAGATCAGAGATCAGAGCAGAGATAATGGCCAAATTGTAAACGCTAATCGAATATTTAAACAAGAGCAAAACTCCAATGCGCAAGCAAATAAAACTTAATCTTCCAAAAGCGAGAAATAGCATTAACAAGTCAAATGACAAAAAGAAAGTAAAAAGTAAAAACTAAAAAAATAGCTGTAAATAAAAGTAAAAGTGCTGTCAAGCTCTGAATACTTTGAACCACCACCCAAGAACACAGACCACCCACCAAGCCAACCAAAACCACCCACTGCACAAGAAGAACTGTGACCACCGCTATTGAACTTGAACTTAGCTAACTGAAGCCACCACTATTCACCTACGAACACCATATACCACACACCAAACACACAAGAAACACACCACAGCGCCTAGAAGTTGTCTACAATATTTTATTATTCATTTTTATGCAATAACTATCTTTGATTTTTCCTCTTGAAGGATCGAATTTGATCGATTTTGTTTCCATTTCCGTTTCTATTACCGTTTCCGTTCCGTTTTCAAATGCAAGCTTTCGTAATCCATCATTCAGTATCGAAATATGTATAACCGAAACCATTTAGTTGATTGAGTTCCGTTGCATTTTGCCTGATTTCTCAGCTAGCTTTTGAAGCACTTATAACTCAATCTAAGCTAAGGCAAACCAAATTTATTTCCTTTACGTTAACGCTCTATTTTCTTACTCTCTTTTTCTCTCCAAAATGAAAATACACAAAAAAAAATCACACGATACAAAAAAAACAAATGCTAAAAAATGTGACTTTATGAAATCGAAACTTTTTAACTAATTAATGCACCGGACGCTTCTATGCCTTTCCAAACTTTTCAATATTTTACATCTCTAAAAACCTTTGAAAATGAAAATCCAAAAAATATTACCGTTGAACGCAGGCCACCATGTTGAAAAAGAACAAGCTGAAAATGAAACGCCGGAATACGGAACCCACCATGATGGTGGCCGGTTCGGCCACCCCCCAGCTGTCCTTGGCCCTGCCGCCCAGCGTGGGCGAGGTGGGCGTGGCCGGGGAGGGAGCCGAGGGCGACGGCGGTACGAACAACACGGATTTCTGAATATGGTACAGCGAGCGTCTGATTTAACGTGCTAATTCCAGCGCAGAACCAAACTGCAGACACCCACACCCCACCCCCTCAGACACCCACCCACGATAAGCCCACCCGATCCCCCCACCCGACAGCAAAAGCAAAAGCAAAAGCAAAACCAAAGCAGCATAAGAAGCAAAAGGAGCAGGAGCAGAAGCCATCTCAGCAGTCCATAGTCCACACACTAGACACCAGAACCAAGAAACCAAAGAGCAGGCAACTCGAAAATCAAAAGCTGTAATCAAAATTACTTGTAAAAAGAGTAAAGTCCTAAAGAATAATTAGATCGGATTAGATGATCAGTTTAGCAGCTCAGCGAACCCGGCCGCCTTTCCACGTCTGAAATAAGTACGTTAAACTCAAACAGCTCGAACCAACACTGTCCGCCCACAAGACTCTAAAAGCAAGATGTGTAATGGGCAGGCAGAAGACGAATCTATATTCAAGTGTTAAACGAAAAACAATAGAGGGTATAGTGTAAAGAGGAGATTTAATTCAAAAACACACAGCAATAGTCTGGCCAAAGTTGTATCAAATTCAAGTTCAATTATGTTCCTTCTCGTTTTGTTCCTATGTAAGCAACAGCAGAAACCGATTAGTGATACCGTTAAACAGAGAGAAGCGCAAGCAGTAGTAAAAGAAACAGGGAGAATGAAACAGAAAAACAAAGAAAACTGTAAAGCTAAGGCTAGAGAAAACCCAAGAAACAAAACAAAAAGTACAAAATTGTTGAAAATTGTTTGTTATAATTAAATGAAAACGCGTAAACCGAATTATGACAAAAAAAAATGAAGAAAAGAAGAGCTATTACCAACTAGGTAAATAAGGTTGCGTTTCAGCGAACCCAAGTGTTCCAAAACCAACAAGAACAAGAAAAACACCCAGCCAGGTCAAGATAGGAACGTACAGCAGATGCGGGAAAATTTATACGAAACTTTTTTTGTTGATCGATCGATCAATTCGATATTGAAACTTTTGGAGTGAGGAAAAAGCTGCAAATTGCATAGTTGGCTAACTACTAATTGGGACGACTAAAATTGGAAACTACAGGCGGGCCTAGCTCGTCCTGTGCGCCATTGAATTGAAAATGGAAAACACCTTTGGATTGTGCAATTGGTATGAATTTTCTCCGCTGCTGTGCGTCCAAGAAAAATGTGAAACCACGAGAAATAGGAAAATGCATTTTCGAGCGTAGGCAAAAATGGCATCGCAAGTATTTCACCTGCATTTGTCTAAAAGAAAAAACAAGAAGAAACAAAAAGAAAACAACTTATTTTGGATGTCAAATCCGCCTAGAGGAATGGATGAACAAATGAAGATGAGGACAACAAATCCGAAAACTACAATTTCAACTTTAAAGCGCTTATAAAGAAAACAATTTTTGAAAGTTTTATAACTAATTTTACATTACGTCTTATGTAAACGACACAAAAACAAACCACACCAGTACCAGAACAGTTGAGGATCGAGGGCCAGGGAAGGGTCGAGTGCGGATCCCCTGCTTCAGCGGCTATTCGCCTGCGCACTCGGCCCATCCCTGGCACACTACACGAAGTGACGACGTGGTCCAGTTGGGTGCGGGAATAGCCGGATCCGGTTCTTCTATAACCAGGATAAACCATTGGGAGCGGGACGCACTCGGCTGAGGACCCGCCGCCCACACAAGGTCACACCGAAAAAATAAACACGACCATATACAGACGAGAGTTTTTCCCGCGCAAGCCATCAGACACGCACTGCCATGGAAAAAGGTCACGGAAATCGCATGGCAGTGTACACCAAAATCCATAATATCCAAATCCGAGCCCATTCTGCTGGCTCCGCCCCCCGGAACCGGAAACGGATTTTGGGGGTGGGGTGACGGCAGGGCGGGTCATTGGGTTTGGGAGCCTAACATACACACTCTAAAGAATACACCACCCTTTGCGTTCGGCAAATCACCTCCGGCTGCGATTAAGGGGCTCAGTGCCAGGGGTTAATCGACGCACACTCGACCGATTTCCGTGACATACGTCTCTGCCAGTTCAGGCAGAGATCGGAGGACGCGCCGTTCGCCACCAGCCGTGGGCTATGCAATGGATTGAACGAAACATGCGCCAGAGCCAATTTTTATATTTGACCATTAAGAAAAACCTATGATTTTGCTTTACCATTCGGACCCACTAATCATCCCAGATTGCGTAGCCCCCGGCGTCCTTCGGCGATGCGGCGTCGCCATCCGACCCATCCTCCAGGATGCCTTCCAAAATTGGCATCTACTGGATCGATTAGCCCCCAGCAAATTGAATCGCAGCCCGCAGGAGATTTGGTTTTTTATCGCCTCATTTCGTACAAAGAGAAACCGCAACAAGAAAACACTGCACATCGTTTTTTACACCCTTGCGTTATGTTTTTTGAATGTATTTAAAAAAATGAAAAAAAAAACCAAATATAAGAAAAACAAAATATGAAAAACACACAAAACACAGAAGAAAACCAAAAATAGAATGTAAGTTTAAATAATATGCTATTCAAAGAAATCCAAAACATGATTACCCATAAAACAAAAAAAACGCAAAAACTAAAAATACTAATTATAGTACATACATTGATGTAGTGTTAATTGTAAGAAACCCAGAAATTGTTTCATGAATGCCAGAAAACAGAAAAAGATAACAGAAAACCGAAAACCAAACTCCAAGCAGTCGTAGATGCAGATACAGTATCGAAGAGATTCAGCTGCGCAAAGCCCGTAAATGTACAAGTAACTATTTTTCTCTATACCAAAAACAAAAAAAGGAAAGTAAATCTCCACCATTTTTGCTCCACATTTAAGAAACAAACTCGGTGCAGGCAAAGATTGAATTTAGTCGCAACAAAAATACAGCGATCAGGGGCTCTAAATGCCGTGCGATCAAGAAATTTTTAATTGAATTGTAACAGACTACGCAAGCAAATACGGAATTTAATATTAAATGTACAATAGCGTCGCTTTAAAGTCTATAAGAACATTTTGTTGCAATGCAAACGTGAAATCCAAAACCAAATCCGTTTGACATTACGACAGATTCGAATGACATCAACAAGAAAAACACACACAACACAGAAGATAACTGCAAAATAAATGTAACTGACATAACATATTGTTTTGATTCTATAAAGTTCAGTTGGGGTTGGATGGGGAGGTCCCCGATAAGTAAGTATTTACCCGGAAGTATTTATCAGCATTCGAATTTTAACAAATAGTTGAACTCAACAGCCTCATCATTAATATTATTATGTTTATTTTCTATATTTGTAACATGGAATATTCAATTAAATACATATATACAATACATATCACGTAAATTGGCTTAGATCGTAGGGCTAATATCTTTAGTTTTAGTTTGTTTCGAGCTACACTACATAGATAAGGTGTGCTGCCGAGTTTCCGCCTCGATGATAAGGACGAGGACCAAATGACATACAATGATTATAACGCACATGATGAGAAACACGTAGAGAACTATAAACTGCTGGCTGGTCGCAAACGTCAACTATTTGTTCTGCTCCGAATCGGATGAGACATTCGAAACGATCGGCGGTGTTGACCTGCCATCGTACTGTTGCTGATTCACCAATCGCTGGCGCTCCAAGTACATGGAAACCTTGATGTTGCGCACCTGATGGTTGTCAATGAGCTTCAGTAGGGCGATGACGCCGATGCCGACGGAAATAGCGAAGGAGCCCCAGGCACCAAACTGAAAGAGATCAAAAAGGGTTAATTCAATATTTTAAGCAGTGCTGCATTCTTAGTATTAGTTTCAAACGTGTTAGGTATACAATTCTAATACCAATCCACATCATTTTAAAGTATTACGTATACGTATTCCACCAAATTTAATCTTAAAGTATTACGTATACGTATAATCAGATAACTTCACTTTATAGAATGTCAAAAAAGGATGCAGTAAAGCCTAATATGTATGTTATTTTACCTGAGTGGTTCCCATTTCAATGTAGAATCCCGAGGTGTTGATCTTCTCGGTGTCGCCACGAATGATGTTCTGACCCGCGGAAATGGCGCAGGATGGGAACCTCTCGGTCATGCCATCGCACCAGACAATGAAACCCAGGGTAATGAAGATAGCAGACAAGATGGACATGGCCAGCATCCAGATGCCCAGGACCACGTCAATGAATAGAGCTATAAACGAGGCCTCCTCCTTCATGCGGGCGTATCTATAGGAAAAGGAAATAAACCTTTTAGAGGTCTGTATACATAATCCCCTCCTGCTACTCACCTGTATATCTGCACCACCGAGATGATGAGCAGGAAGAAACCAGTAATCAATGGGAAGTTGCAGAACCCATTGGAAGCCCACTGCACATCGAACATGCCGTCCTCCTCGCGCCATTTGCCAGTTGTAAAAAGGAGGCAGTGACCACTGTGGGAAAATAAAACAAAGGTGTTCAATATTTAACAGGGTCTTTCCATAGAGAAAACTGCGCACTTGCTTACCAGAATTGGTCGAGGTTGATAAACAATGGCACAACGATGCACAGCGACAGGATGAAGAGGATGACATGGCCAGCGATCTGGCTGAGTTGCAGCACATTGGCCAGGGCCATTTTGCGTGTTGAAAACAAAAAATTATATTCAACAATATCCCAAGCAAAACACGGCAATGCACTTCCAGCTGTTATCGATAAATAGTGTTGGTAAGCGCCTCGCAGCTGCCTGCATTGGTATGCACCGTTATCGATATGTACGCGGTGGCCCTGACTCGCGGATGGCCCATCTCTAGTTCGCCCTGAAACTCGTAAAAAAGTGTAAAATTTGTTTACATTGAAAAAAGGTAAATTGTAGCACTTACTGGTCAGTTGCAGGGCTC